TACTTTGGAGGGTTTCCTTACCCTTGGCGCGTCATATCCCACGCGATGCGTCGCTTCTTTCCCCGCTTGCACCAGAAATTTAGGCGCACGATGACGATGCCCCGCACATCGACACTCATTCCGACTACTGCAGATACCTCTGCGACGCTATCTTGCCAGGACACTAGAAGAGTGCCGTATATCTCGTTCAGCGCGAGCGTTGGGAGGAACTCGACGTTCCATGATCTGACGGACGGGAACATCGAAGAACTCGGCGGCGTAGAGTATCGCGCCTTGACTGCTTTATTGTGGATAGTACCATTGGTGAGCTCGTTCGTACACGTCGGCCCACCGTCGTAGAGTTGACCATGGACATGCATCCAGTATTACTTCGGCTTGTTGTTGGTTTCATTCATCATCATCGCCCCATATGCCAACTTGCCCAAATACCGTTGGATATTCCACCCACCTGAGCAACATCGTGACATAAATCCGGTTTGGTACATGCTCTCTTTCACCCAACCTCTCTTCATACTGAAGCAAAACCTCGTTCACGGCCCAGGTTATCATTTTTCCAGGTTGTTGGTGCTTGGGCAAACACGGGCATGTCCTTGGTGGACGAGAATATGGTACCCTTCCGCGGCGCATACCTTATGATTATCATTCTTGTATTGGATGTGCTCGCCGGAAATACGGCATTCGTGAGTTTTTCCAACCTTCATCCGCTTCCCCTTTGTCTAAGCAGCTCATTTCCAGCCTATCTTGTGAGTGCCGTCTCTCGCTATCGCTAAACAGAACATTTCATCTCTGACAACGAAAACCTCAGCCTCCGGTTCATGATGTGAGGGAGGTTACGGATCTTTGAGCTCATCTGGATAACGGGCCTTGTAGTTGGATTTTAACGAAGCTGTTACCACAAGACTCCCGCACGAAAGAAGCACTGCGTTTCCTCCTGGACCATCCGCGCAGGTGTTTCATCTATTTATTTCCTGCTAACCAGACTTGGGTCCTACTGACTGTTCAGTTCCTCATCGAGTGAGTGCTCTTCAGATATGGCTTGCACTAGGTTCACATGATACATGCGAACAGCTTCATTCTATGGATATTCAACATCGTTTTGGATATCGGTAACCCTAGTACCAGCGGCATCCCCATCGGTACGAAAGTGATAGACGCGCTTCTCCAAGCGGCCGCGGTTCGCAGTGCTGGCTTCCAGACGATATCGCTCTCGTCGCTGGTCCCCGCCGTCCAGTGAGTTTGCCATTAGCTAAAATGATACGCCGACTCGCTCACGCAGCTTAAAGGGTACTCGACGTTGTCATGATGTACATTGCGATCTATCCTATCGCTTTGAGGTAGGTATTCTGCGTCCCTCCTCCGGGTCTTGTTGCAGTAATTGAGTGGAAGTCTTACTGCATTTATCTGCTGTAGCGTACGCTCGACAAACGTGTACGAGGAGAAGTCGCTCGGTATATACGAAGCGGAGGAGAATATAGATGAATTGGATGATAGCCCGGAGTCACGAGTAGAGATCTGGGGTAGATACCTCTGGAGGCACGCAAGGAGGCAGCTATCCTTTGATATGTGGTGGCTAGCACTCTCGTTATTTCTCTTGTGCATCATTGAGGTCCGTCTACGAGATTCAATGATGCCAGCGTACGGAAGCTCACGCCACGCGACCTTCATGGTCAGCGCACCCCTCTTATGGACACAAGCACGGCATCGTGGTTCAATATATTCGCCATCAGTCAGCTTAACCTCACCTCTTGTTGTGTATTTCTGATCCCCATGTCCAACCAGTCTTCGAGCTCGTTTCTGCCTACGGAACGGTCGGTCTCTCTCTTGGCGTACCCTACGTGAGTCTTTTCTCGAATTCGTGCCCAGAGTACAAGCTGAAGTTCATTTTCAAGGCGAACTATAGCTTTTCTGGCGCACTACATACTCTATCGAAGCTTATTCTCTGCGCGGTAATGGTCCGCGGTCGCCATCGCGGGCTACCTGTCGCTCTCGATCGCGCAGTCCTCCTTCCACACGAGTTCGAAAAGCCGCCTGCGGCCGCGGAAGAACCCCAGTTTCCCCATGTCGCGGAAGATTCCATGTCGGAGAAGCAAGAACCACCAGACGACTCGGCGTTGGCGCATGTGAAGGGGAGAATGTCGGAGGGCCCGTCAAATAGCAAGTCGTCGTTCATTCCTCGTACACGGACCTTGAGCTTCGCAATGGATGCGACAAACCAGAGGGGTATGTCACGGACTGCGAACGTCAGCATCGACGTCGTCGAAGAGGACTTGGATCTATCATGCGCGCATGGCATACATGCATCACAAGCGTCCCGTATATAGTTCTCGCTTTAGACCTTGTACTTATACCGTTCATGTCCTTACTCGCTGTCATAGCTTTGCGCACCGTGTTGTCAGCTGCATCTAGACAAAGTTTTCCTGGAATAGTCGCATGTTTCGTGATTAGCTGAAACGAGGCAGAGGATAATTTCAACAGTATGCTTAGAGATACAAGCGTATGATAGCTCGATGATGAAGTAGACTGCAGACAGCACCGAATGAAGGCAGGTACGGAGAGAGGTAGGGAGAGTCAAAAGTAGGGAATACAGCCGAGGTGCAGCGTCCAATCCACACTTCCTCAGCCATTATGATAGGAGAGCGCAGCGTGCGCCGTCCACAACGCGTCGTCCATGTGTTACGTAGCGTTCATGCTTACATCGCGGCCATGCTCATGCCTTGTAGCGTGCCTATCCTCTGTGCGGGTTGGCTCGGCTGGTGCATCTGCGGCTGGTTCATCTGCAGAGTCTGGCCACCGGGTGCAAATGTGGGCTGATTCTTCTCCTCGAGGTCGGAGTAGTGCACGGTCATCTCTTTCCGCGCCTTCTCCCAGTTGTCGGGGTCCCAGTACGAGTACGTGCCGTGCTCGCCGCCAGGGACCTTTTGCGAGGGAGCGGTACCCGTCTCCTTCGTCAGCCACATGCGCAACTCCTTGTGGTACCGCCAGTTGCGGTTGAACCTGCGTATCACGACAAAATCAGCGGGAGTCTGTAGACAAGAGATGGGCGATACACACAGTTCTTGCGCCGCGATTTCTTGGAGCGCGTCTCGCGGAGAGGAGTAGAACATGAAGAAGAGCGTCTCGTCACTGAAGGCTTGCGCCTTGGCCGGGCCTGGTGGGGGTGGCTGCACGTTGTAACATGCCGGTAGGTGGAAGTCTGGCTCTACCGTATGCGCAGCAGACGAATCTGCCCACGGTGTAATGAACGCCGAGTAAAGACTTCTAGGGCCAGTACGTAAGACAAGCGCAACACCAAAGAGACTTTCATTGCACCGCACCCTTGTGTCTGCATGTCCAGCCCCATGGTCCCCAGATCGGTCCCGACCGACAGCAGGTTCTGATCCGGATCCGCGCTCTTGATCATCGCCAGGAGACCTAGCAGTCCCCAACGATCTGCGGGTGACATGAGAACTTGCTGCGCTGGCGTTTGCGGTACCGCACTCGTGGCATGTGCTGGCCCTTGCGATGGGTGGTGAGCAGTGTCGCCGCCCGTCGTTCCGTTGCCAACGTATGGCGTCTGTTGTACAGCGAGTGTCTGCGGCTGTGGTTGTTGCTGCTGCTGTGAAAAGGCCCCAGGGGGTGGCACACCGGGTGGCGCGTTGAGTTGTTGTTGGGATTGCGATGTGTGGTTTTGGTGTGCACCGTTCGGTGGATTCGGTGTGAGCGGTGTCGATTGCTGTGCGCTGGGATTCGCGTTAGGTGAGTTCCATGCTGCCGCTGCCGCTGCATGGTTTGTCTGGTTTAGCTTCAACGCATAATTCTGCAGAGGCATCAGCCCCCCTAACTACACGTATCAGAGCGTTTGGACGCACCCGCTGCTTCTCTGCATCAGACTGGGATTGGAACCCTGGATGTACACCCCTCGCCTGTCCACCCAGATTGAGGACACCCGGTTGCTGCTGGCCACTTCCAAGGGAAGGCGTCTGTGTGCCACCCGTTAATGAGCCCAACAGGTTCTGTCGATGCTGCTGGTCTGCTTGTTGCTGGAATCCATTAAGCCCTGGTGGATGGCCATCCGACGTATGTTGCTGCGTTTGTTGGTGCGACGTTTGTGTCTGTCCACCTAGCGCAGGAAAGTCGTCTGGTCCAAAGTTGCGGTCCTGATTACCTCCTGTACCTGCTCCTGCTTGTACGCCGCTCGACCCTGTACCCAATACACCTGTCCCTGCCTGACTCGCATAGCTCGTCGCGTTTGTGCTTGACGCTGCATTTGAATTCGTGGCCGGAGTCGAACCCAGCGCGGGGAAGTCGTTGGGATCGAGCCCTACTTCACTTGCTGACGACACTGATGGCGCTGTACCTAGGCTTGGCGTAGCAGATTGTGCTAGGTGCGGTAGTAGTGTCGACGACGCGCTGGAGGGTTGAGAGGACTGCTGTATCGGCGTGTGTAACGCTGCAGAGCCCGTATGTTGTGGCTGCGATTGTTGGAGGCCTCCGGACGCGAACGCAAAGTTATTCTGCCCGCGCTGCTGGAATAAGTTAGGTGACGGCTGGGCGACGAGGCTCGGCGCCGCTCTGTGATTCTGTAGCGTTGGGTATCCTGGCATAACATTCCGAGGGGGCAATCCATAGCCTGGATACGGGCCGCGGTAAGGGCCCGCGAGTGCGGGATTGGGTGCGAGACTCGGTGGCCTTTGCGGTGGTTGACCTGCACGCGAGGTAAACATCTGAGCGAACTCTCGCGAGTTCCAGCGGTTACCTGGACGGTTCATGGCTTTCGCGCGGCGTGTGGCAATCTGCTGCAGAGGGCGGAGGAGGAAGATGGCAGACGAGATGATTGTTCTGAGCCGCTCGCTGTCTCGAGCAGTGGCGGGAAACAGCCTCCAATTGCGCGGCCCATTTCCGCAGATAACACCCTATCACAGCCGCTTCTGGCAAGCTAAACAATATCCTGGAACATGTGCTCTTCATTTTGTCACTGCATCATACACGATAATCAATACATATTTTTTAAAGTCCGTTGTGGCTCTGTAGTGTAGTGGTTATCACAGCGGATTCTGATCTACACTGATTTCCGTTAACCCAGGTTCGAGTCCTGGCAGGGCCTGCCTCATATATATTGCATTTACAGTTTTAAAATGTTTTACTCTGGACATTGCATCATTCTCGTAATATCCATTCCGCTCGTATGCGTCCTGCAGTTTGTAGCTACACGGTCGTTATCCTGGACCGTTGCTTTTGCGCGATGTTGTACTAGAGATCTCGGTCAATGCAGGGCGTGTACCACTACCTGAGCCGCATGCTCTGAAATTGATCACTGAACTTGGCTGCATTGCTTCGGTACCATGGAGGTTCGCACAGTCATCGCGTTAGTGTCTATCGGACCCCACCAAGGACTCACGAATGTACGTTCATCTTAGGTCCTCGACAAACGCTCCGCTCTGTTGTCCAACTTCGAGGTCCTCACCCTTTTGCGCGAGCTCGAGAGCGACCACCTCGCACGAACAAAAACAGCCCTACGCATCAAGAAGGAGGAGGAAGCAGTGGGAAACCACTCTGCGCGGATCCTGCCTCCGTCCGACGAAATATGCGAGAACCTCCGGACGATCGAGGTTGAGGCAATCCAGCATCTTTCGGCGGATTATCAGCCCACTGCGTTGCAGACGGAGGCCGGCATCGTTCGGCTCACAAAGAGTCTTGCGGCGTACGACTTGACCAAAGCGGAAAAACTCCAGGTCGTCAACCTCGCACCGACGGAGGCGGTAGAGTTATATGTCGTGCGTACTTCGTCGTTTCATGATGTCTATGTGCATAACAAGGACATAATCGCAGATCGTAGAGGAACTGGAGGATCGCTTCGGGACACAAATGGACGATATTCTCGAAACTGTCCGATCTTCACTGTCCGTCCCAGCAGCGCCACTTACAAATGGTGTGCATGGAGATAGGACAGGAATTGGTGCGACAAATGGTGGAGAGATTGTCTACACCGAGGACGCAGAGATGCAGCAATACGTGGAGGAGGACGGCCACTGGGAATATGATGCGAACGAGATTGTATTCGATGATACCGGAGAGGGTGCAGGTGTAGAGGGTGACCTGGACGTCGAGGATGACTGAGGATATGTGGGCATATGAACATGGAGGTTCAACTATTATCACGTAACAACAGAAAATGTGGGTGTACGATATACAACACGGTATTACTTGCGTTCAGCTAGGGAATTCGCGGCAATCCGAGTCCAAGTGCAAATACACCAACCCAGAGCAACCAAGACAACGAGTGTGACAGCAGAAAGAGTGACGCGTTGATACAGCGCAGGCGATATTCTATGTTGATGACAGGGTGGGGATGCGGACTATAGCCAAGGGTAGGCTCGCGGGATAGCGGGACGGCATCGTCGTCAGACATGGCGAGGTACGAAGACAGCTATGAGGACGATGAAGGGTATATACGTGAAGACAGAGATACCAGACATGATGCGGCACCTATTGCGCCACGTCCTGGCATCTGTACACCCGGCATCAAACACGATTCACAAACAAAGAAACAGCCACGCACCGTGTTCAATCTGCGGATCGTCCAGTGTGACCGCCTTCTCCACATCGGTGCCTCCGACGCGTCGCGTTTTCGGGATAGGCCAGAAAGAAGCGAGCCACCAGATAGGGAACAGGACGAAGCCCACGAAAAAGCACCACGCGTGTAGCGGTGACGCGTCCTCGTCTTCCGATCGCAGGTGCGGTGTCCACTCCGTCGGATGTATCTTAGGCAGTCGCTTTGGGTCGCGCATGTGGTACGTGCTTGATCGCGCGACGGACGGCGCATGCGGGGTTATCAGCGCGCTGAAAGGGATCGAATGCTCCGAGGCATCGATGCTGCGCCTGCCCGCGACCGACTCGGCGCGACGTCCTGACATCGCGGACTGCGCGTGCGAGGCTCGCGAGCCCGAGCGGAAGAGGTGTATTTGCGCCGACCGTCGTGACCAGGACGAGTTCTGTTCGGGCGAAGGCTGAAGTTGCGACGAAGCAGGGCGCGCAGGCGAGCCCTGCGGCGTCGATGCCGATAGACGTGCACGCTTCCGGTGATACGACGAAGGCACTTTGGATACTTCAGAGCTGCGATGGGAGCCTGCGCCGGCGACGTAAGTGGTCACAACAGAAACGCAGCCATAATCTACACCTACGACGAGCCTCTGGAGGTATCGCAAACGTCGCGTGGTGCGCTGTCTTTTGATCTGGCGGGGTGATGTCGAGCTCCTCTGCCTTCCGTTTGCCCTTCCAGTTGGTGGGCGTCTCTGGAACAGGGTTCAAACCAGGCTCGCTCCCAGATCGCGGAGTGCGGAGGACAGATTTGGTTCTCGACGGCGGTGAGGGTGAAGAGGAAGATTCGCTTGGCTCGTGAAGTCGCAAAGACGAAGGGACAGGTGACGGGTTACTTCTATGAGAAGCACGCCTGCTGGGTCCGGCGCCCGCTGTGTCTCCACGAGCAGAAGTACTGGCCGAGCGCGTCAGCATGTGTGTCGCGGACCCGTTTCTCGGCAGCTTGCTATCGTCATTGCTCGGACGCTGCAGCCTAATCGAGTGCGGGGTATCCATAGAACGGAAAGAGTCGTGGCTGCCAGGGCCTTCAGCCGCTGAAAACCGAATTTAGTACTTCACATGAATCGGTAGACGTCACCGGGGTATCTTACCTTCCTGCGCGGGTGGCAACTGAAGGGGATCGGGGCTAAGAGAAGTGGGTATAAGACGAGATGGAGGGGTGCATAAGGTTGGATCGCGCTGCTCTCCCGCCTGGGTAACACGAGGCTCGGCATCTCCCGAAGCTTGTCCCTGGAGACGCCCGGTCCCACCGGTCTCCCAGGCTTCCCCGCCTCGGCTCGCGTTAGATTCTCGCCCGAGAGGGTGCGTCTTGTTACCGCAGTCTAAGGTAACGAAGTCGGAGGGCAGGAGAGCGGCGACACTCGTTGTCGCCCACTCAGTGCTGGCACGCCTCCTGGATGAGTTAGCGGAGCCACGCCGTAACCGGTCTGTAGACGAAATGCGGAAGATCCTGTGAACCCGCGGTAGACTCGCGCTCCTTGGTCGGCGCAGCTTGGGAACAGTCAATGTAGGGGTGGACGCCGTGGCGCGTACGTCACTCATCGTCTTACGACGTCGCCGACGCGGATACGTACTGGCGTGAAGGGTTGCTGTCCAGGTCGAAGCTGGTAGGTGGTGGGTATTGCTAAAAGTATTGGAAACATCGAGACGCGAACGCGAAGACAGAGCTGAAAGTAATTCGGGGTGTTGTAGAGGTGGAAGAGGGGGTGGCGGAGAATCATAACGAGATGTGTTGTCACTCGGGGGTGACGGTGCACCGAAGGTATATGGAGTCGCAAGGACAGGGTCCGGAGGTGTCGCAGGTGCAGAATAGTACGCAGATTGAGGCCGAGAGCGCGTCGATTGAGAACGGGATGCAGAGCGTGGTCGAGAACGAGAACGACGATGGGAAGAATGTGAAGAGTGTAAGCGATGAATGTTGTCAAGATAGGGATCCTGTTGGTGTGCATCGTAGTCATGAGTGTCGTAGCGGTCGTCATATTTCGTGGGTGGAGTTGACGGCCCTGCTAGCCGCAAATCGGAGGAAGCCCGCGATGGGTCGTTGCGATGATGGAGCGAGGTGGCCGAGATGTTCTTGGACCGCGAGACCCGCTTGCTGCTGGAGGAATGCCGTGAGGCCACGGACTCCGCACTACCGAAGTAGTTGTTCCAGGCAGACGGGGGAGGTGCAGGATTCCTGAAGTCCGGAGCATCTAGATCAGTGCTCTTTCCGAACGTAGCCCAAGTAGACACGGACGCCATCTGGCGGGAGAAACGCGACAGGACGCGTCTGCGGCGAGGAGTCTCTCCGGGCGAAGACTCGGGCGTGATAGACGAGGCCGAGCTGCCACCTGTACGCGCACTCGACGCGTTCTTCGACAGTGCAGGATGCGACCCATCGTTACACGCGCTTGTCGGAGGACTCGGAGACGAGACATTGTACGGCTGGCCGACCGTGGCTGTTGCGTGCAGGTCCTCCGGGGCTGGGATAACAGGTTTCCGAGCAGCTCGGCGCGGTGGTTTCAGGCCAGCTGGTTCCTCAGCAGAGCCCGGAAGCGCATTCATAAGGCCCGCAATGTCACGTACGATCCTGCGGTCAACCGGTGCATATCCCGGCGAGTGGGGAGAGGCTTCCATAGCATCCTCCGGAACGCGTGCTTCCGCCGGCGTGTACTGCTCGCCATCCTTCTCGGTCGCGGGCTCGAGACCGCGTGATTGTGCCGATTTGCTCTTGGTCCTGCTGCGTACGAACGCTAGCAGAGAAGCCATATAAATGCTAGTGCTCGCTACACATGGTTCAGCGCACTAAGGCCGTTATCCCCGAGGGTTGTCATAGAGCGACCACTTACCGATGTCACCTGCAGGAATCCGCAGACGTCTCGAAGGCCTTTGTCACCGTCGTGTCGGGGCTATCGTGAACAGCATACAGGGAGCGCGGCACTCGTGGCCGTCGACAACAAAGATCACGGTTCGAGTTCTTGCCTTCCAATCCCGCCACACGAACGGCACCGCCCATATTTGGGTCACCTGCCTAATTGAGCGGGATCCTGCCTAAATCGGGAACTTGGAAGTCCCATTGAGAGGGGCGCATGATTCGACGCTCTTGAAGACATTTTGGGACATCTTCATCCGCTCCTGCAATGGCTGAATTATGCTGACCGGAGGCTAGAAAGTCCGTTCCACTCGATTTCCGACACCACGGTCTCAATGGGAGGTGTCACGGGTTGTCACATCGTGTGATGCGTCCCGGGGAGAATCGTCACACACCGCCTCGGCCACCGCTTGAGTCGTCCGCTCATCCTCGCCCGTAACGCCCCGCTCACGCCTTACGCCTGCCCGCCATGGACCGCATAGAATCCCTCTCGCAAACCCTGTCGCAGATCACGATGTACGACATCAAGAGCATGTACAACCAGGTGCGCCTTCGGACGTCAGTGGGTGCCAATGCGGACCTCGACTGACGGAACGCGGGATCCGCGCGCACAGGCGAAGAACGTCGTGTTCAACGTGAGCGAGATGGAGGCGAAG